AAAAAAAAAAAAAAAAAAAAAATTAATTGGCATAACTTGGTTACTAAAAAAATCTGCGTTTTCACTTTCAGCAAAATCTTTTTTTCTTCGTGTCTTTCAATATCTGCATATTCATTATCTTTATTAATTTCACTCCAGATCTCCTTATTATTATTATTAAAAAAGATGTGGAAACTGATTTTCAATGCAGCTCATCTGCTTTCTATGACTTCAGCACTCTTTGTTTAATTCTGCAACTAAAACATTCAAATTTCTATTAAATGATGCTGTAATAGATCTACATTTCCTTAATAATTCATTCACTGTTTTACAGTTACTTCAATTAAAATTCAAGAGAGATTATTATACTTATCTGATTCCAAAAGATCACATTCAGATCAGCACAATGTTACAGTGAGTTTCACAAAATTGACTACCTGTCAATTTACAATTTAAATTTTCAAAGCTTATTTGCAGTCCACAATAGAATAAATTGTGCTACATACATATTTACTCTAAAGGAGATTATATTTACCATTGGCTTAAATAATGCAATATACATTCCAAAGAATTCTAAACCTCTTCTTTAGAAGAGACATTCTTAAAACATTTCATGTGTGCTGTCAATCTGAGAATCTTAATATCAAAATTAAATTATTACTATAGAATAATAAAAATACCACATCGTTTATGCAACAAATACACAGTAATATTAACGTTACACTATCTGGTACAATATGTTCATGTTAACTTCACTGTAACTTGAATCTCGCCCATTCCTTTTTTGTCTCTGCTAAGTCTTAGGCCCACATCATTCATAAATAATTAGAGATAGTAAATGTGCAGCTGACTCAAGAAGATTGTAGACTGAATGTCAGTTCATGCTTACTTCACTGTGGTTGGTCGGTTTTTGTACTACGCTGGCATAAAGTTCAACAGTTAGATGGGAAAAATTTTGGAAGACTTTTACAGGCATTTTGCAAATGTTTGTCTTTATCAGAAGATGAAAACAATCACTATGAGGATGAATTCATTTAAAAATTTAAGGGAGCTTCTTATCTAAATGCATTGAGGAAGGGGAAAAGTATGTGAATACATTTTTTTTTTTTTTTTTTAAAACTTTCAGAACATGGCACTAAAAAGCTGGGGAGGGGGGGATATATGAACAAACACAGTATTCTATTTTCAGTATGAATACAAACTACAAACACTTTACTATCTTTACCCGGGCATGTCCTCAGGATATGATCCAATCTCTACCGAACAGCGAGTAAATTTTCATGCTTAATACAACACCTCTTGTTTCTAAAATTTTTATAGTCTTATAACACTTGGGCTTGAGTTGTAGCATTTATTTAGAGGACCATCTCTTAAAAAAATATTGTAACATTCCTTGTACAGTTCCCCATCTGTCCAGTTTATTGATGCTATCTCATTTTGTTCAAGAACTGAAGTCAGTGCCTTCCCTACAATAATATGTCTATAAATAAAATCAGATACATCGCTAGGATTGTTTGACAAAGCATAAAGCAGTCTAAAACTTATGCAGGCTTTTATGCCATGTGCTTTATTAATATTATGTAAAATCTGCATTGCCTATTATATGTTTTAGATTGAATTTCAGGGATTTTGCCCTGGCTTTGCAAATACTATCAAAATGGGGATTAAAGGTGGGTTGAACAACTATTCTAAGTTTCCTTCTGAAGCACTGCAATGCCTTTAGCAAGTTCCTTACTTGCAACATAAGAGTTTGAACCACTGTCATTGTGGATTTCCAGATGCTTTCCTCTATGAGAAACAAATCTCTTTAAGCATGCTAAAAAAAGGCTTTTGATGAAAGATCACTCACTAATTCCATGCAAACTGTGTTTGTCATGAAGGACAGAAAGGCACAAACATAACAGAAAAAATACGGACAACAATGCAAGACACAGCTACATTGTTTTTTCAGCCAATTTGTTGTGCATGAGACTTGCAATCAGTATTTTTTGTAAACAAAGTAGCAAAAATTTCTATTCTATCAGGACACAAAATTTATGGACCAATAATAACTGACACCACTCTTTATATTTAAAATAATAATTTTGCATTTTTATAGGTTTTTTTATCATTATTTCCTTTAATGCAAAAAATCTGATGTGTACACCACGACTTCCTCGTACGGAATATTAAATTATATGCATTTTTTCTTGCATTTCATTTAAACATTATTAGATTGAATTAAATCTAGCTTCGTCGAACAGTGCATAAACTACAAGAGAATAAATGCACTCTTTAAAATTCACCTATATTTGTTTACCACAGCTACACTCTGGTGCCTAGGTTTCACTTAACAGTGTTACATTTTTATATTCGTTCATATTATAACACAGAATGCACAAAATTATATCATCTTAAAGAACTATCTAATCGTTGCCACATGTTCTATTCAAATACTATAATAAAGCTAGAATGATGTATAAAAGAAATTAAGCAAACAAACAAACATAAAAAAAAAGTTTTTCATAGACGATTGAGAGTATTTCTCATTCAATTAATTCAGTTCTCACTTCGCGACAAGGCAAAAATACATAAAAACTCAAAATATCTGTATTAAAAATTATGAAGTAAATCTTAAACACTTATTTCCTTGAAAAATTCCAGAAAGGATTAAGCATGATTTAATTTGCAATAATAAATGAAGGCATTATCTTTGTTGTTGCGAAGCTAAGTTTCTCTAGATTGGCAACAAATCCACTATCCTTCTGTCTCAAATGTAAACAAGCAGTTATCAAAAAAATTATTAGGCTTAACGGCACTTAAACAACTTTAAAATTGTTGATAATTCTAAAAATATTGCATAGAGATTTACTAAAGGCATAAAAACCTTAACCGCAAGATAAGAACAACACAATTCAATCATTTTTAAAGCAAAAAAATGTACAATTTACAAACATATAAGAGTAAAGAAACTGAGATCACTGAGCCGGGTAACAGATTGGATATATATACAGTCAAAAGTCGTTAATTCGGACACCCATAATCCGGACCTCAAAGCCTACAAATTTTCTGTGCATGCGTCGCGTAAGACGTTGACAGGCTGCGAATATGCGTGTGCGCAAAATACGTTTACGAATGCGTATTTAATGTATAACGGATGGTATAAGCTAAGCTAAATTATCTATTATCTATTTCAGTTAATCTTGCAGATTGCATTGTTCCTTAATCTTCGAATTGGATCCAGCTTATTATTTTTTGCAGACTTTTAGAGCAATTTTATAAAAGTAAGCTTGAACTTTTGATTATGTCAAATAGAATTTCCGATACATATTTACTAATATGTAAAGGATCTACAAAGCGAAAGTATGTTTCGAAGTCCATTAAACAAAAAGTGGAATTGCAGCGAAAAATGGATAAAGGCATATCCTTTGTTTATCTAAACTTTAACGTTTGTTTATGTAAACTTTGTTTATCTTTAACGCCGCAGCGTGCAATGAATTAGAAGTTGATCTGTCAGCACTATCCTTATCTTCAGGGCAGATACTTTTATTTTATTTGGCTTATAATTCCTTACTAAATGTAGTATTTCATCTCGATGTACTCCGTCTTTGATATGATTTAAATCAAATGCCTCGTCATTATAATTCGCTTCCGATAGCGAAGAAAGTAACAGAGGTTATTGAAAACAAAAAAATTTCGATTGACAAATTAGTCGGTATTCTCGGCACAGCAATTATAGGACTTGAACAGCAGAACTTTGTAACTGAACAAGAAATTATGTCTGTTTATAGAATTAAAGAGAATGTATTATCACATAAAAAATGAAGCAACTTAAACAAGGTACATTGAATAAAATGTTTAATAAAGTAAACAAATAAATATTAAGCTTTTTTTTTTCTAAATTTTGATACCCTTTAGATCATAATTGTTCTTTATTTTGCAAATTATGGTTTCATATTTTTAATTTTATAATTTCTGCATGCCATTTTACCAGATTTAAACTGATGATCTATAATCCGGAATCGCCGAAGTCCCGACGAGTCCGAATTAACGACTTTTGACTGTATAAATATATTTATATACGTTTAGTGCGGCCAATTGCAACCAAAATACGAGGTGCACATCTACATGTTATAGCAGTCCTACATACAAAATTTCAACGTTCTGAGGCTACTTGTTTTTGAGTTATGCTAGATATGTTCGCACAGACACCATGAAAAATTCTCTTCAAAATTCATTTTAAAGCAGTTTTATAATTTTTTTGGAGGAAAAGAGTATTTTATTTTGGCGTTACGTACAGATATCATGCAAAAACATTGTTAAATTGCATTTGATAGCGGTCAAAATGCATATTTCGTTAAAATATGCTCCTGAAACGTTTTGCAATACTTCCTTTTTTACAATTAAAAACAGTATATTTATAACCTTTACAGGATACAACTTATATGTATATTTGATTATGATATTATATTACAACTTATATGTATATTTGAATCCGCCTTAAATAGCTTACCTAAAAGGAATGCTAACAATATGCTCCCAAAATCATTTTATAAATAAACGTAAGATAAAAAGCAAAACTACTCTTGGTTTCCATTATAAATTATGAATGTCCTGCAGCATTTGTTTCTTGAAGAAAAGAAATTCATAGAGTGAAAACAATGATACATTATTCAATACATTAAAAAGAGTCCATTGGCACACTCAACATATATACACATATTAAAACTTCTTAAGTTATAAAAAAATAGTATTATGCAGATGAAAATATATTTTTTCCATTGAAATAGGTGGATATTGCTTCTTAAATATGTTTGAATATTGATTATTTAAACTGCCATTTGAAAACAGTAGAAACAAAAATAATTTTTTCATGTATATATTAATTATATTCCTTGCTCATATTGTTAATTGTAGACAATTTTTGTATGAAGAATAACTTTACAATACTTTTTTGAATTCTTGAAATAATTATTCTACACTACACAAATACAACAATATATATAGTCTTTTATAGCGAAATGTAATATCTAAATACTTACGATCGTTGGTCCATCAGAATATTGATTTTTTAAATGCTCCCAGTATTCTCTTGGAGTATAATTTGAAATTAGCTCTGGATTAAGAAGGTAAGCAAGATACTTTTGATAAATAAATTGCACCTAAAAATAAAAAAAGTTGAAAAGTAAGCATATTAACATACATATAAGAAAATCTATTCAGTATGAAGTGAACAAAAATTATAGTTACAATATAAACTATATAAAAAATATATTATATTTAATTTTACTTAAATTCTTTGCATTTAATATTTAAAATATATAAATATATAAATATATATATATATATATAAATGAATATAAGGAATGGAAATTTAATGCCGCATATTTTGTATAAAAATTTTGAAAATAATTGTCTCCCATGAGAAATATAATATTACCTAATTATTTTCAACTAAACTGAACTTTTAGAAAATCTAAGATAAATAATTATGTTCAAAGATTAATGCATTACCTGGCTTGACTTCATATTAAAAAAATGATATAAATTCTTTAGACATAGAAAGATAATGCTTAAGAAACACATATTGCTGAGAAATATGTATTAATTACATGACTTTCAATACAATGAAATTTTAAAACTAAAGAGAAATTTTTTAAGTTATATACATATTTTTAACTATTCAACAATATGAATAGTTTAACTTTTGTGATTAATTTACACTTAGAAAGGAATCAAGTATTGGTAATTTAATAACACTAATTATTAATCATTATAATCAAATAATAATAAGGTTTAGATTAAAAAATATGTCATTAGCCTTTCTAAGACTGTAAACAATGAAATTGATAAAAATTTCAAACAAGTAATAAACTGAATTTAAATAGAAATTTTCAATATTTTCAGTCTACTGCCAAGAATAGTATACTGATTAGTAGAAGCTGACTGCTAATCCAAAACCAAGAGCTTAAGTTTGACTTCCACTTGTCCCTCTTTGTCATGCACTTTGAACAATATTCTTTGTGATAAAATGGTTAACTAATGATGGATTCTATTATAATTTTCTCACACATACTTAAGAAGCAATATCCATCTATCTCAATGCAAAAAATATATTTTCATCTCCATAATACAATTTTTTTATAACTTAAGCTTTTGATTAAAAGGTTTTCCAAATTGAACATTTTTTATTAAAATCAAATCACCAGTATTTACACATGGACAAAAAAAGAGATTATAAGATGTTAAAAACTCATGAACTAACACATAAAATCTTTGAAATACATGATTCATCTTCACAGAAGACCAGAATCACGTGAAACTATGAACTGACCTTTAGTTATCAGACTGAAATGGAATCATCCATATTATATGGTATTTTACCCACTACATCATTTCTGGAGCACAAACATTTAAAGTGAGAATATGGAAAACACTAAATATTGCTGGCTTGGGGGATATAAGTGCCATTATATAACATTGGATTTTGTGATTTTTAGCATAAAATCCAGTTTTGTATGAATTGGGAGTCTGTCAATAGTTTAAATAAACAAAATCACTAAACACAAAAGTCAGTTCATCTCAAGTTCAGATTCCAAAAGCTGAACTGATTTATTGAATAGGGTTTTCAGTAATTTTTCCTTTTTTAAAACTGAACATGAGCCAGTTTTCCTCAAAAAATCTTTTATAAAGTTGTCTTAAATATCCTTCGAGAGCTCTACCTAAACACCTACTAACCTGCCTAACCAACCTGATTAAATCATTAGAAGACTCAAATCTAATTACAAATTTCATTTTTTCCCTGCTAATTTATCTGAGCTGACTTTTTTTAACCCTTACAGCTTTTTGCTGTAAATAATTATGGAAATGCAAAGCACAGATGCATTTCATGCATTAATTTCTCTACCATGTTCTATTTTACAGATTTAAATTCAGAAACAACATACTGCTTTTAGGCATTTGCTAACAGAATCAGTATTTCATTTCACATCATTTTAATGGAATCACAATGATATGTAAAGTAATAATTTGCAGCTATAGTAACCTGGAATATTAATTTGACTCTCCATCCAGTGTTCAACTGCTTGTACAAATTATTATTCGCTGCAAAATTTCAGCTTAATATTTTTAACATAAGAAATATTTCTTAATTCATTTGTTAAGATACTAAGGAAAGTATTATTGCAATACTAATGATTTTTTTTTACTAATTTAGAACAATTCACATGTATGTGCTATGAAGTCAAAAACTATCAATGACTACAAGATTATGTTATTTTTTCTTTGCCTTAAAATTTATTAAGAAACAGCTATAAATCTTTCCTCATACCTTCTCCCCTCCCCCCCCAAAAAAATTAAGGTCATTGCATTAAAGATAATGCTCATAAGGCAAATGAAATGAAACACAGATAATATTTAAATAATATGATTAATTGCACTGTGCAGTCTCATATTACAGATTACCATACTTTTGGGAATGGTATTAACTTAAGTGTCTCTAAAAGTATGCTTCCTAAGGCAGATAGTCCTTGAATGCTTAAACATTAAAATACTCTGAACTTCTGCTAAAACTTCTGTCAACTCCTCCAGAAATTCAAAACTGATACAAAATTGAAACCCTAAAAATGAACTTTTCAAATTCTTTAAGAAATAGATATTTGATTTCAAAACTAAATCATTTCATTACAAATTCAATCATGATAACCACAATAAACTCTAAATAAAGATAAAATTTTCAATAGATAGTTTGAGTTAAATCTACTTGTTAATCAAAATAACAATGGTACTATTCGGTTTCGACAGCCGTAAAAAATCGCCAAACTATTGTTGATGCCAATGCTGCCAAAAATAATTGCGGCAACCCTAATAATTGTGGCAAGAAAGGAAGTATAATAGTAAATAACTATCTAAGATTGATGTTTTAATTTAGATGAAAGGTTAATTTCATATAATACTTTTTTATTATTATAATTTATATGAAAAAGGCTAAATTTGACTGAATGGAAGCATAAGAGTAAATAACTATTTCAGATCATTATTATAATTTATATAATTGCTAAACATAACTGAATAGATGCCTGCATCACTATTTCGCTACCAACTTTTCGCTAAAGCATAATTTCATCTAGTTGGTTATTCAAATGTAATTTTCTATAATGAATGATGCCTTTTCTTTGAAAATATTCAGAATTGGAATTCAGAAGTGCAGAATCGCTCACTTATTTGTTTGCCGCTTTTTACAAGGGTAAAAACAATTGGATTTTTGTCAATTTTATTTTACTTTTTAAATGAAAATAGATCGATGTGTACATAGATAAAGTCAAGGGGGTGCGCAGTGCCATTTTTGTGCAATTCTGGAATTTTTTTTAAAGCAAAAATAGGTCGATGTGCACATGGATACCGAGTATGTGCAATTCTTAAAAACGCGTCAAGCAGTGTGTGATTCTGCACTTTATCCAAAATTCTATTGCCGACTTTTCATCATGGGCAATTCCCAAATTGTTAAATCCATAGGATGTCAAAAAAGGATTTAAAATGAAACTAGTATTTCAATGGCCTCTTAAGAAATATAGAACTATATAAACTTACGCAGTCTGAAACCAGCGCGTACGCTAGATTTGGCGCACTGTTAAATGGGCGCGTTTGCTAGATTTGGCGCTTTTGCGCATACATTTTCGCTGCAATTTTTTTACGGCCCTCAAAACAGAAGAGTACCATGACAATAAGGGACTAAAATTTATAACTATACTAATTTTTAACCAATCTTCCCTTTTCAAAAACAGGTTCTTCTGTCAATGAGCAAATACATGGTCCATACTTTTGGAAAGTTTTTCATCACTACAATACTTATCATCCAAATGACATTAAATAGGCTTCTACATTACCCGTTCTATACTTTTGCACAAGTTACTGAGTGGTCATCTTATTTGAATTTACTGCTTTCCAAATATTGTGTTACTCACGTGGATTCCACAGTTCTTCAAATGTACACTGCACTAATATAAAAAAATTAGGGGCAAAGAGAATTACAGAAGCTTTACAAAACATAGTTTTAATGACCAAATAGTTTATTATTATTATTATTGTTTTCTCTGTTTCTTAACAATAAACTTTTGTTTACACTATTTTCTATAGATAATACTTTTCTGGGACAGCTTAGGTTACTTGAATATGAAAAGGCATATGAGGGCTATCTGCTTAGGAAGAAGCATGCTTTTGTGGATGACTTTCTAAGGAAAACTGTTTCACATTCATGTTAAACATGGAAAAAAAATCACAAAAATCAACCATGCAGCCAATCGATTTGCCTGGGTTGGAACCTAAAGCAGACTACTAGTACTGAGCAGGCTTTAACAGCTCAAACACTGGCCGTTCCTTTTCGTACAATACTGCAATAACGAAAAGTTGCTTGAAATTCTTTCCTACAACTTTTATCAATCTCCTTGCATTCAAGATTAGTTTTGGCCTGACCCAAATAAAGAAAAGTTGGAACATTTAAATAAGAACATTTTATATGCATTTAGTACAAATTTAACTTTAATTTTAATTGCTAAAATATTTGTAAAAATTGTTCTAAAACAACAGAAAAATTAAACATAATAAAAATGCTGCTGATCCCAACTTTTTTCATTTACAGAAAGTAATATATAAATTTCAAGACAGAACATTAATTCATTCTAAGACCTGAAAGTAACAGTTGTACAAATATAAATGCTCATCTTGGATTGAACAAATGACTGAATAAAAAAAAATAATACCTTCTCAGTCACTTTATTCTTTTTGTTCTGCCAAAGGAAGTAATGATTCATCACTTTTATTCCTAGATCTTTATAAAGAATTTTCACATTTGGACTAAAAAATTCACCTGTTTCAGCCAGTAAACGAATTTCCTATTTAATAAAATAAAATATATATTTTCTATATAAATCATTATATATCAGCATGCTTTCCTTTATATTTTAATTAATGCATAAAAATTGCTATTTCACTTTCTGATAAAATTAATTTTAAGCTAATGAGTAATGAATTATTGATACTTTTAGCATGTCAGCAAAAAGAAAAGTGTAAACATAATCTCTTGGTGACAAACATAATTAGCATTAATTATGACACTAATTTGAAGAAACGTTTAAGATTTTGATAATTTGGAGTCCAATTTTGCATTACTTACATTGCAATTAAAAATGAGTTTGAGTAAATGATCCAGAAAATCTACAAATAGATCTAATTCAATTACACTGTGTTACATACATTTAAAGGTATGAAGATACAAATCTGATTAGTCTTTATTTGTACCAGTCACAAGATAAATACCACAATTATGAATTTTTGCAGTAAGAATAATTAGTTTTATATTTATATGTGAACAATTTTATCTCAAAGTTGAAAATTTAAATCTATTTAGAAAACTTTCATAACTACTTTATTTTTAATGTAAGATAAAAGTAAGTTATTCAGTTCATTAGAATTATTTGAAATATCAAATTTGAAAATTTAATAATTAGCTCTTAGTGTGCTTGAATTACGAAGAGCAACTATCAGAAATTTCCTGCAGATGCCAACATTAAAATTTAATTTAAATGTTTTCTAATGTTGGGGGGGGGGGAAACTTTTTCTTTTTTGGCCCATCGGCTACTTTCAGATCGTGCATTCAGCCTGTATGCAATTTGAGTTTGAGACCACTGTATTAAGCTTTTTAAAACAGAAAAGAAAAAAAAATCAGTGACACCTTTGCTGAAATTCGAATTGCAGATCTGACTGCTGGATGTGCTAGCATGCTACAACTTATACAACAAAGATACACATATGGAAAGGCAAAACTTCTTAATATTCCTTTCCATTTAAAAGGTGACTGGGGAGATTCAGTTACTAAATCCAGGTGGTGAGAAATTTTTGATAGTATTTGTTTATAAAGCATAATTTTAAGTTTTAATATTTTGGCAACATTGATATTAAATCATAAAAAGAATGAGTTGAAAATGTATCTGGAATTGAGAGTTTCTTGTTATGGTTTGGTAGAATGTGGTAAGATTTCATATGACTGGTTTTCTTTAATAAAGTTTTCTTTTTGTATATTGCCATAATGTATTTTTGTTAGAAGTTGATGATTCTTTTGAGAATGTTATTTATATGCCAATCTTAAAAAACAACATTTGGTAGCAGAGCATGGTCACCTCCTCTGTTAATAAACTTTCAGATAGACCATTGATGTTGTTTAGGCTTAATAAAATCGACAATTTTTCTAACAGATAAATTAGACCTGTATTATAATTAGTGAATATAAATTAGAAATATGGCATATATAGTAATTTGAGTCCTATAGAAATTAAGTGATGATAATTATCTTATATGGGCAAATAGAATTGAAAGTGAATTAAAAGTTTAAAAATAAGGGAAATGTGATAGAAGCTGATGAACCACCAAACCATATAAAAAAGATGATTTAATATTTCAAAAATGAAATAAAACTTGGGAAATTTGGGATGATAATAACGCGATAGCAAGAAATATAATGAATCAACTGACAGCTCCACAAGCGTTAAAAATATGCGAATGAAAAGAACACAAAGAAGTTATTGGGAGAAAATAAAAAATGAAATGGCGACAAGAACAGAAGATATTCAAATCAAATGTAGAATAGAATTAGCCTAACTGAAAATGATCAAAATGAATCAGTAGATGATTATTTGAATAGATTTGTAATTCTGAAAAGTAAAATTATTCAAGTTGGAGATGTTTAAGAGATAAAGAATTAATTTCTTCATACTAGAAGGACTTAGAAAGGAAATTTGAATTTGATGTTAAAATTATTAAAAGCAATAAAGAGAAAGATCTAGCTTCATTAGACAAGCTTTAAAAGAAACAGAAAGAAAAAATAAACAAAAGAGGAAAAGAAATAGAAGTAAGTTCTAAGGCAGAAGAAAACTGGATAAAATCAAAATATGAAAGAAGATGCTTTAAATTGTGGAAATTAGAAATTTAATAAAGAATGTCGAAATAATAATAATAGTATAAAGTGCTTTTGTTGTGGAAATTCGGCCACAAATCAACTGAATGTAAAATGAAAACTAAAGAACATCGAAAGCAGAGAAATTTAACAAATAAAGCTTATAGAATGTCAAGCAAGGAAAGAGAACATGAATCAGCTACATGCTTATTTGAAGTATCTAAGAAAATAGAAAGCTCATATCTTAATCAAGATAGAAATTATGGAAAGAATAAAATAAATGAACAAGGAGAATAGAAAAATTATATGGATTCAGGAGCCGCATCTCACATGGCAACTAGTAAAGAAATATTTACTAATTTTAAAGATGAAGAACGACAAATAATGACAGCTGAAAAAGGGGCCATGATCAAATCAGTTAGTATTGGTAACATTAAAATGCAAACTGATAAGAAATAAGAAACTCTTGAGAGTAAAAAATGTTTCTGCAACTACCGAATTTAAGTGAAAATCTGCTGTCAGTATCAAAAATTGTAGATCATGATTTAAAAAAGTAATTTTTACAAAAAATAAAAAGCAAATGATCATAAACAGGAAAACGTTCTATATATATGAACAGAAATGGAAATAATTTGAAGTTGAAGGAAATATTGTTGAAGAAGCTAAAATTAGTTATGTTAATGATGTACTATGGCATCAGAGACTAGGTCATATAAATTATCAAGGCTGATAGAAATGAAAAAACACTCATCGTCTTGGATTAGAAATGTAAAAATTTCTCAAAACAATTGTGAACCTTGTACATTAGGAAAAATAACACGAACATCTTATAAAAGTGTGAAATTAAGCAATCTAAAGATATTTTAGAATTATGGCACATAAATTTAGTTGGACCATTGAGAAATCAATAGGTTGGAAGCTGTTTTTTTTTAACAGTGGTAGATGACTACAGTAATTTCATATTTGTGATAACAATTGAAAAGAAGAATGAAACTTCAGAAGCTCTAATGAAACTTATTATTCAGGAAGAAAGACAAACAGGAAAGAAACTAAAAAGAATTCGTAGTGATAATGGCAGTGAGTTTTTAGCTAAAAGTGTTTTTTGAAAAAATGGGAATTAAACATGAACTTACAACCCCTTATACTCCGGAAAGTAATGGAAAAGCTGAACGTTTTAATCGTACTACGAGGGCAATCCCCCCAAAAAAAGTCTCCTATATTTTTAGATTTACAAAGAACCGTTTATTTTCTATAATTGATACATCACTTTAAAGATTGAAGAATGCTTTATTTTTCAACATAATTGCCATTTCGGTTGATGTATTTTTGTAGACGCTGTGGCAGTTTTACAATGCCCATGTCATACCAGCTTGCCGCCATGCCCTTCAGGAAGCGTTGAACCTCATCTTTCACCTCATCATCGGAGCAGAACCGGAGCATGCAGAGAGCCTCCAGAGTAATCCTCCGATCTTTACGCATGAGTTCCTCAACTTTCGCAATTGTCTCATCGGCAACTGACGGCCTCCTGTTACAGTTTATGTAGCTGGCCACGAGAGGGCGCAACGTTTTTTACTTTTAGCTTGTTATATTTTTCTTACCGCATGATTATTGAGGATTTTTGAGATAGATGTAGTGGCAACCAGAAAAACATGATGAATGTTCTAATGTAAGCATACAATTCTTGTACATAGCTGTAAATAAAGCTTTTAAATTTCTGTGATAAAAAAGAAAAGGAATTCCATGCGTTCCTGTGGATATTCATTAAGAAAGGTAAGCAAAATTTCACTTATCGATGTTATTAAATGTAAATAATAAGAATAAGAAAAAAGATCATAAGTTGCAACATGGTGCCGAAATTCCGAGATAACAGTGATCTTTAGATATATTGTGATTTAAGTATTTATTATTGTTCGATTAGTGATTGAATATTGATTATTAAGATGGATAAGTTAAAAGCACTAAAAAAGAAGCGAGGAATGTTAAGAGCATCAGTAACAAGACTGATAGCTAAAATGGAAAAGGAAATAGAAATAGAAATCGGATAATATTAAATTTGATTTATTAGAAGATGATTTATCCATCTTAAATGAAAATGAAAACGATATACTAATATTGAACTCTGAAATCGAATCTATCCTAACAGATGAAAAAGAGTACGAAACTGAAATACAGGATAGCTTGGAATATAAAAATAAAATTATACCTTGTTGTAAATCGAAGATCAGTAGAAATATTTAGAAATAGAAAATGTGTTAAATTAAATGAGTTGCCATCTAATTCTGCTACTATAGATACGGTAGAGAACACAAATACAAATGGCGCTAAACTTCCGAAACTAACCATAAATAAATTTAAAGGCGAAATATGTGAATTTCAAAGTTTTTGGGCTCAATACGAATCTGCTATACATAATAACTCTGCTTTAAAGGATGTAGACAAATTTAATTACCTCACATCTTTACTAACGGACACAGCTTTAATGTCAATAAAGGGATTACCGTTAGTTGCCGAAAATTATGCTAAGGCAATAAATATTCTGAAAGAAAGGTTTGGTAGAAAGGACATTTTAATAAATGCACATATGAATCGTCTGCTGAATTTAAAGCCAGTTAAAAAAATGGATGATATTAAAACATTACGTAACTTATATGATAGCTTAGAAATTGAAATTAGAAGCCTTGATTCCCTTAACGTTACTTCGAATTCTTACAGCTATTTGTTATGCCCACTGTTAATGAGGATACTTCCTAGCGAATTGGTTTTAGAGTTTAATCGATCTTTAACCCCTGACACAGAAACCACAGTGACTAACATTTTGTAATTTCTGAAGAAGGAAGTTGAAAGCAGACAGCGTACGTTTTTTCAAACATCGCCAAACTATTCCAAGTTTAACATTAGAACCGAACAACATAAACATCAATCGCGAGATCTTATTAAAAGTGA